CCAGTGCTTTCCCCTCCCCCCCCTATAATATTCACTGGCCTTTGGGTTTCCATGGTAACAGGCGGAGGAGCTAATATGAGGGCAGAGTCATTGATTTGATTTGCTGAAGATTAATATAGACATAGCATAAACTCCACAGGGGATAGAGGGGGGAGACTGATATGAAGTAGCTGAGATTATGGAGGTGGAGCTGACTTAACTTCCTCACTGTCACCAAGGTGACAAATATTGGTTTATAATTCAATAAATTACTGAAGAGCATCTGTTCAATATTTGATAGTATAAAATTAGACTTCTATCTATGTTTGATGCAAGGAGATAGGAGGAGTAACTATGTATACGTGGGAATGATTTCTGGTTAATATATTTATTTTGCTTGAATATTAGCGGTTTGTACTCGCAAAATTATAAAGCTGTAAAGTGAATTTTAATTTCAATGATTTCAATGAAAATGCTTTTGTTGTAGCAAAGTATTAATTATGGTAGAACGAGAGTAAAATGCAGAAAACCTCAACACATTGTGTGCATTCAAAAATGCTAAAAGTAAATAAAATAGTTTTATTTTAAATTGCTAATTTAAATTCAGCATTTTAGCTAAAGTTGCACAGTATAACACTTCTTATACCCACTTCTTTTCAGTAGGTATTTCAGTGCTGCAATATTGTGTGCTGATACTAACGGGCCTTTTTCACAGGAGACATTTTACCATGTCACAGTAGGAAAAGCGTAGGTGTAAATAATAAAATGAATTATGGCTGAATGTCATTTCACTGCTTGCTGCATGCTGCCTCGCTGTCACATTGCCATGGCTTACTAGGACACTTGAATATAACAGAGCCATTGTTAATGTTATTAGTAACACCTGTGCTTTTGTGACAAGTCAGTGATGTAATGAAGGTTTATAAGGGTAAAGGACAACAAGCTAACACTAATTAGAACTATAACAAAAAAGTTATGATGCTAAAGTCACTCGGAGTGATGCTAATGTCACATTATATTCAGTCCAGTAAAGTCATACTGTTGAAATAATTAATTCATACCCTTGAACTCTGAATCACACTTAGTAAACTGTATAAACATTCAATGCTAGTACTCTAGTGAACAGTCTAATGCTAGATGTAAAATTAATATCTCCAGTAATACTGCGATCAAGCATAACAGAGTGGTAACATCATTGCGTCCTTTTTCAACACCACTGACTTTTAGCTTTAACCCATTTGTTAGACAAGAAAGTTGAGATTGGATGATCCCCAAAACCAACATTTTGTAGGTAAAAGGAACACATAAGTAAAAGGAAAGACCGTGGTTTTGAACGCCGACCTCTCGAATCAAAGTATTAAGTGCTACATGCCCATTCACAACTTCGATCTCCTCTTTCTCCCTGCCTACAACGTGGACATTGTTCTAGGGATGGTGGGCTGAAAGATATACTACAACATCTAGGGTCGTCTAAATGGATCTATAAAGATGAACTTCAGGGAGCAAAACAAAACAGCAGCAACAAACTCTTTATCTGAATTACAATCAGTGTTTTGAGAACACTTTTTGATTACATGAATTGTGCTGCCTGGGATGATGTGACCCTTCTCAAATCCAGCTTCAAAGAGCTCAATCCCAAAACTTCAGCTTTAAATTACCATAGAAATGACAAATCATCGCTGAAATCTCCTGCAGCTTTTCACCCAACAGTCCTGAGTACATGAAGTGAATGTTAGAGTGATTTAGCCTACGGTCACAGTCTGATCATGCCTGTGAGGCAGCCGTCTTCAAAGGAAATCGCAGCTGAAGTTTAGGTAATTAGAAAGAGGAGCTATCTACAGCAGGCATCATCATACAGTACGTGCTGTTGAAAGCCTGCGTTGTCTCATCTCCTCTCTCCTTCTCCTCTCAGTAACACATATCAAAGGGAATTTCAAGGGTGATTAAAAGTTAAACTGGATCCTTAAAGGGGAATGCCAATGCTTTTCAGCTTCATGTGTTTCCCATTCGTGCCCCTACGATAGCTCAGTTCATTAGTGCAAGGTGTGTTACGGCCTCCAATAGCCAGAGATGAGAGAGAATACACATACTGTACATGCGATGTGCGCTATCAGTTTCATTAACGCTGATGCATGGCTCCATTAGTACTTCATTGGAAGAAAAGGGCAGGGTGTTTTAAATGGACCCAAAATGATTCTGTTTATTGAAATGATTGTAAGAATTGTTGGATAAAAAAGTGGAAGAAATCCACAAAGTCAGTTTTCTACTGATTGTCAGTGGGGTAGCTTCTTCTTATTCATGGGCGTGAAAACACAATAGTCTTGGTTTACAAGTTTCTTTACTTTTTTTAGCGTTATTTCGTACTCATTTAGTAATTTCCCCACGGGGATTATTAAAGTATTTCTGATTCTGATTCTGATTCTGATTCTGATTTGCACACCACCAAAACAATTTGTCCTTCAATTCCACTGCTGGGCAGGGCACTCAAAAATGCTTCTGTTTCTATCAGTAAAGTGCACTCAATACCACATTCTCGAGGTAATTTCCCCAAGGATGTGATTCTCTTTCCCCTCTTCCTCTCGCTCTCAAAAACACGTACACGCACACACACACAAATATCCAGAAGCACACATGCACACACTCACTACATGCATGCATGCATGCTCATGTGCTTTATTTATCTTTGTGCTGAGCAAACACCCTGCTGTGTCTCACTTGTTTCTTGTGTCATGATGATGAAAGGCACCTGCTGTTCTCAGCAGAAACCCCTCTCCACCCTATGTTACTGACATCCTGCCTGCATTATTCACAAGTCGAGTGGTAATTCAGTCACTTCTCGGAGAGTCTCAACTTTGGTGACACGGGCTGAAGGGAAATGCAGGACAGCTGAGTGGATCCATGCCCTTATGTAACCCTTCGTAAAGAGAGAATAGGGCAATAATGTGAATGACTTTCTAGTCACTTTATGTTCACCTTGTATAATGTAACATTTCTGCTCCCCATGCTGTCTGAGATAACCCTATTTCAGACTGTATGAAATGTTTTTCCAATAATTTTATTAGGCGCACTGTAACTTAATTACTTTGTTGTGATGCAGTGCAGAAATTGCTGCACCAAACTTAGACTCCCAGCTTCAATGCAAAATTCACTGCAGACTGTTCTTTTTGTTAGAATCTGATGTGGAAAGACGTGCTGAGGTGCTTATAAAGGGATGTTAGTAGTCTTATGTTACCTTTTCCAAAGTTACAACATTTGGTTATTTCACAGGAGATATTTAAGATTTTCTCACTGGTTAAATGGTAGAATCAAAATCTGATCAGAGTGGTGAGGTTGTATCTTATATTGTCAATCAAATGCATTCAAACCAGTTTATAGATTAGTTGAGGTTTTGACAGTTAAACTCTTAATAAACAGTACCTAATATACCGATGATTGTTTTTTTCCCTGAACTTGAATTGTTACTTATTTCGTATTTACTGTTATAAAGGCCTCTCTTGTGTAATTAATTGTTTAATACACTGTTGTACATCCCATATTTTCATTGGAATATGTCCAGACTATTACTTTGGAATGTTTTATTATTATCACTGCATTAGTTATTATTTCATTATCACTTTCTGTACAGTACTATTAATTATTGTTGATGTGTTAAGTGGCTCATTCATTCTCCCATGCCTCAGGATAAATATCTGTTGTACAGGAGGAAGTGTAAATCCAGAGAGAGTTAATCTGGCCAGTGCCCAGATTAGCCTTTATTGTACATCAATTCACGGTTATACTGATGTACTGTCAATGGTAGCCAGTAACAAAAGTGGATATGTGCAGTTATTTTGCATTTCAATATAGCATGGAAATATATCACTGCTGTGTAATTAACTGTACATACTATGTTGTGTTTGTACAATTGCGACACAATGGTAAAGTGCTCTCTCCAACACAAACCCTAGTATGCTAACTGGAGTTGTGAAATAAATCACTGTTATTGATTTGGGACAATTGATGTCAATTTAACTGCAGAGATAGAATTTTAAAGACTGACACTGGTGGTACTGTTACTGTAAATGTTAAAAGAAGTTCGGTCTAGACCTGCTCTATTTGAAAAGTGAGATAACTTCTGTTATGAATTGGTGCTATACAAATAAAATAAAATTGAATTGAATAGATCTCAGGAAACCAAATATCAGTTTAAACTAAAGAAACACCCATCTAGATCATAGCCTATATTACGATTATCTGGGGCTCAAAATCAGTGCGTTGGGTAACTTTAGTCTGGCAATGAATGAACAGAAACAAACAACATGCAGAGCATTTTATGCAACTAGAAGAATATTTTACAAAATTATGGGGAATTCTGTACCCATTTCTAACTGAAATGAAGATGAAAATATGACTTATTGGTCAGCCCCGTTTCCCACTACAAATTAAATTTGTGGTCTTTATAATACCTGGTTTTAGGAAGTGCTGCAGCCCCCTTTAAAAATGACTGGCAAGACATTCTTCACATTAAATTATGTCTAATTATCTTAAAGTTATTCCTTCATTCAGCACATAGATTTTAAAAGTGACATACAATTTCTGAGTGGCAGAGAAAAAATTTATTTCAGATCTTGCACATGACCTAGTGCTCTGCTTTGGAAGGCAGTTAGCTGAGCTTAGCTTAGGGGGAAACAGCTAGCCTGTGTGTATCCAGAGTTAAAACTTAAAATCTTCTAACCAGCATGTGTATAAGTGCTCAAAAGATTTAATATGTGATCTTTAGATGTGCTGGTAGGCTTATTTATTTATAGCTGCTGAACTATTCCTTTGAGGAAAAAAGCATAATGTGTTGGGAAGGAAGTTCAAGTATTCATATACTACATAAAGCTGTAGTGTTCTTTGTTTCTGGAAACTTCCGTGTGGAAGAACATAATGTTATTGTTAAAAACAACTTTTCAAATGTGAAACCTTTCAGAATATAGCATGATGATGATTCATGATTCATAATTGTTGCTTTCTCCTGAAAACAGAACAGCTGTCAGAGTAGTTTCCAGGAACTATAATATGTGTGTGTTACCTGGTAGCCTGGGTGACATCGCCCCTCTCATCTCCACACCAGTTGCAGGAGTCGGAGACTTTAAGCAGGTACTGGTAGTCTTCAAACATCTCACATGGAGCACGGAGGCCAAAAAACACTTTGTCATCATGGATGATCCTCTAAGACACACATTAAAGGAAACTTTGGTTTTGTTGATTCATAAAATTCCCACTACATTTCATCAATGTCAGGTGGAAGAAATGACAGTAGAGGAAGCAGACTCACAGTGATCGTGATATTTTTCTTTTGTAGCTGCTGGATGAAGGCTTTCTGTCTCTGAGCCTTCTGGTCTGTGTCATCATTCACCTTGTGGGCTACCAGTACATAGTCAAATGTCCTCTGGGTGGGCTGTTCAAAGACAAAATACCCCCCATGAAAAATATTACATTGTTAAACAGCTTGTATTTGCATTTGAAATGAAAGATGTTTTGGTCAAATCAGGGTTACAAAGGACCTCTACATCGTTACACAGCCTGGGCTGCTTTCACCTCTGAGGTGTTTGGTTTGTTTGCCTGGTTAGTTTGGTTCTTTTGAGCTGGTGTGAAAGCTAGTAAATAATCCTCCTGTCGTGTTTCTGTTGTTTTTCCTCCTGTCTCTACCTATTTGTCATTATTCATAAAATGTATTTCAAGCATTTGTGGACTGACCTGCTGTCAGTCACCTGAATCTGATGTGCTGATGATGCAGAATGACACAACAAAACTGTCCAATCAGTCCCAGGGCACAACAATAAGGATTGCCAGCTTGAAGCCTCTTTCTTGCCCGTTCAGGCAAGTGGTAAAAAATAATTATAAACACATTGTTTTTTCCAGAGCTAATGATGGAAGTACATAAGGATTGAGCCACCTTGCTTTCTTCAAATCTCTGTTGAGTTGCACATGCGCATTAATGATTGGGCACTTGGGCACTGGGAAAGAAAATGGCAGCAGGTAAAGACAAAGTTTAAGAGCTAAAGCGCAAGTGAGCATTTCAATTATCCTGGAAACAGGAGTATTAGTTGGGTGGCGTTAAAAGATGTGGGTGAAACTTCAACTGTGTTGCACTGTTTGCTAAAAGCACAAGAAAAACATCTTGCTTGCATGGCAACTAAGAGGGTCTTTGTTGTTATTTGAAATCACTAATAAGTAAAACAATTTGTATAGGGGCAAGTAAAAATTTCAATAATCAAGATATAACGTGCAAATGAGACAGCTGACATTAACACAAGGGCCTCTAAGGTAAAACTCGATATCTGTTCATGTCTCAGGGTACACTGGGTCAATGGAACCTTTCATTTAAGCAAATATGTTCTCCATTTGCATGTTACTGATGGTCTGTCTACAGTTATCTTGTTCATTTATGTAAAGTTCCTCCTCTCATCTAGAGGAGGAGAGTGATGTGGATTCTTACCGTTGAAGGAAGTAATGGTTCAGTGTCGTAAACATCCATATGCCTGTCCCGCAGCTCAATGTTTTCCTTTAACACACAAACACACACACACACATACACACACACAAACAGGTTAGGAGTGAAACTACTCATACAGTACGTTATAGGCATGTTGTATTATCATACCAACTTGATCGTCTGTAATAAAGATATGACCAGTCAAACAATAAGATATAATCTGTATTTAAATCCTAATTTTGCTGCTGACATGTTCTGAACATTCATTTAAGGCAACATTGTGCAAGAATTCATGTTGTGTAAAGTCCGTTGCTCACTGGCTCTGAATACACATCCAGACAAACCATGGGTCACAGGGGGGAGGGGAGGCATGCTTCAGCACACTACGGACGCAGCGTGTGGGAGAAGTATAGATAAACAAAAGCAAGACAAGCTAA